TTTTCTGTTTGTGAGTGCATGCATGTGGCACTATTTGGGTTGTGTTCTCTTCATATCTGAAACGCTCAATTGATGTGCACATTCATACATACCAGGCCCTCTACAGAGTGTGACACAGAAAGTCAGATAATCAGTGAGACAGATGGAGAGATTTACCTCAAAGGATTGCCTATGAATGTGGTTGGCACAAGCTTTTAATCTAAGCACTTGAAGATAGAGGCAGAGGATATGTTAAATGGGAGGCCAGTCTATTGTATACAGTGAGCGAATGGACAGCCAGAGCTACACATAGAAACCCTGTGTCAAACAAAGGAAGAATTGGCTCTGGTAGGTCTATCTCATTCTAAATTTGTGGGCCAGGGCATCAGGCTTAGGTTTAGTTAGGTCTGGTCTGACACAGCTGAGGTGAGTCCAGTTCTTTGACCCACAATCTGGAAGCACATAGTGTTTAGGTTGCAGTGTGCAGAGGAAAATCCCACATCACAACTTCTCAGTCTTTGTTCAATGCCATCAACACAATGGGCTAATTCTACACACATTCAATAAGTCTACCCATTTGCAGGAAGTCAATGACATTTGCAAGTTAGCACTGCAAGAGCATGCAGACTGAGGTGTCTCCCATGCTTAGTACCACTCCCAAGTGGACAAGAACGAGAAGTGTCACCTTTCACACTGGCTATTGTGGGTTTTAAGTCTGGATTTTTTTGAATAGTGCCACACAGGAGGGCTCCATGCCTGTTTTCTGTTACTTTAGTCATTATGTCTTAATGAGGAATATAGAATGACTAGGATGGAATTATGTAGACTAGGTAAACTAGCCACATAAATCAATAAAAACAGGTTAATTTAAGGTATAAGAGCAGTTATAAGAGCTAGCTTTAAACAAGCCTGGCCTATCGTCCTAGCTTTCTGATTAATAACAAGTCTCAGTGTGCTTATGTAGCTGGCTGGTGGACAGAAAATGTCCAACTACAAGTCTATATATTATGCTTGGAAACTTAAGACTTTAATATTAAAATATATAATTGAGTGTGAGTAGTGATTGCAGTTATTATGTTGTTGACTTTTAGAGGTGTTGTTTGTGTTGTCAGTGCTATATTGTGTTTCAGTAATTATAGCTTTGTTGTCTTTCTACAATCTCTTGGTTATGCTCACTTCTCTCTTCAGCTTGCATTCAATCCCATGTTTTCCTCAGGATTGATCTTGTATATAACATTTTAGACTGTTTATATCATGGAACGTTTTTCTCTCTACTTCAATTATGGCAGGCAGTGTGCTGAATACATTAGTATAGGTTACCAGTCGTGGTCTATTAGGACTTGGAATGCATTGCTCCAGCCTATTCTGACTCTCAAAATTCCATGAGAAATGAGCTGTTTTTTGAAGGGTTTCCTTTTCATGTGACTTGTGCTTTCAGCTTTCAATACTCCTATGTTCTGTACACATAGTGTTTGAACAATGATATGGTTTTCTTTTCAGGTCTGTCTAGTGAGTTTCTTTGTGCTTCTTGTTATCTGTATGTGTGTATTTCCTGTTTGGGATTTTTTTCCTATAATCATGTTGAAGACCTGCCTATGCTTTTGACTTGGGATTCTTTGTTCTCATCTATTCCTACAATCTGAAGGTTTGGTCTTTCATGGTGTCCCATATTTCCTGTGTTTTTCTTTTCCTTGTCTTTGTTTTTTCATAGTCTTTGCCTATTTCATCGAGATCCTCTACTTCAACTTCAAGACCCCCTACTCCATCCTCTGACTGATTGATTCTACTTTGTTGGGAGCGCCCCAGGTACCTTGATCCTTTGGAACCAAACCTGTACTTTCTAAAGTCTAAAATTTATGTAACTAGCCTAACAAAGGAGCCTTCTGGGGGTACTCACAAGAGAAACCACAGAGGTAGGACATAGGAACACCATGACCCTGAAAGCTTGTCCAAACTCAGCCATCCCTAACCATCACATAGGCAATGGCCGTTAGACCAACCATTCCTCTCCCTCCTGAACTTTTTACCTTGCCAATATCCTGCTCTATGTGCTTAAACAATACCCTGATACGTGCACACCTGGTGCACAAAGCAACCCTCTCACCCCCTCATCCCCTTCACGTTTTCCTGCTCTGCTGAGAATATTAGCTGGCCTGAGAAAAATAAAAATTACCACTTGATCAGATACTTGTCTTGTGGTATTTCTTTCGTGTCTCTTGTCCCTGGTCCTTAGGTCTCTTTGCTCCAGGTTACTGTCCTGAGCATTGGGACACTACTTGTAAGGCTGTCTCTTGAGTTTTCTTGTTGGATTACTGGGAGTTTTGATTACATATTCATTTCAGTTGGAGCTCTCTTCAGTGTTTGTCTTTATTAAGTTTTGCTTTCAATTCTTGGACACTCTTTGTATTTTCTTGGGATTCACTCTTTAATTTCATTATCTGTTTCTTTTGATCTCTTTTAAACCCATTGAATTCTTTGAAGAAGTTTATGAGTTTCCTTTCAAATTCTGTGTGCTAGGTTTCATCTAGGTAATTCTCATTGGTAACCATTTCCAAAAAACTGGTGTAGTTTACAGGGAAGATTCTGTCTTGATTTCTCATATTTTCTATATTTTACTATGAAATTTGTACATGGGGATTTCTTTTGTTTTTTCTGTGTCTGATATGGACAGAATAGGTTGGGCCAGAGCACAGGATGTGTGGTTCAGTTTGGAATGAGATGAAGTATACTCAGGTAGCTGGAACTGGGATTGGCATGTAAAAACAAATACACTTAAAATGTGTAAAAAACCTTTACACAAGACACTCCCACACACACACACATACACACACTGCATTTGTGGTGGTATTGATAGGGGAAGAACATGGAGACTGGTTCGGCCATGAGGGGTCCTATCAGGCATGGGCTTGCTGTACTTTTAAAAGGGCTGTTGGATGCAAGTTCAGTCCTTCCTCCATTCTATCATATAACTATAGTCAGTGCTGTCTGTTTTTGATTGGGAGCCTAGCCTTTAATGGCTGAGCCATCTCTCCAGCCCTAGGCAGTGTCATCTAAAATGAGCCCTGAGTGAACATAGAGACTCTTGGCACCTTGATCTTGGGGCTTTTTGCCTACACAGCTATGAGACATGAGTAAATCGCTGTTGTCTGTACCCTCCTGCATTTACTAGAGTTGCCCAAGGAAGCTGACACTTGCTTTCAAATGAACACATCTCCTTGCTTAAATATTGGCAGCAATTGGGAAGAGGAGGAGATGTGAATTTCTATCATTCACTACAACAAAGTAATCTCACCATAAAGAAGTCAATAGGAAAATGGACCTGAGACAAATATGGAGGGGTCATGATAGATAGACAGATAGATACATAGATAAATAGATAGATAGATAGATAGATAGATAGATGCTAATATACCCTAGAAAAGAAGATTCTTGTTCATAGCATATTCCCTAGAAATAAAGATACTTTTTCAGCCCAGTTCATTTAAAAGAATGAGACAAAAATTACACTGGTATCCTGCGTGAATTGATAAGATAGAAACAAAGGATGTAAAAGAACGTTTATTTCTTTAAAAAGAGAGAGAGAGAGCATGACCTCACACCTTCATAACACGAGGACAAGGAAGCCCACTAATAGACGCTGCAATTGGGGAATCCTGGTCTGTGTCAGATGCACCTAACCCTTTGTCTTTCTAGCTCATTGCTGGAATCCAGCCTTTGTGAAGACTGTCACACACTGAGAGTGACATTCTAGATAAACTCAGTACTGCTTATAACATGTAAAACACTGCGCCAAACGTTACTGTTATGCTAAAGTACATGCTGTAATAAATTTCGGCTACAGGAGACATGCAACTGTGAAAACCATGAGAAACATAGTCACAGGATTGTGGAGAGAAAGCCAGGTAAATGGGAAGCAAGAGAAGCTGCAATGACTGTGGCTGGAGTTCCTTATGGGACAGGCTGATGAGAAATCCGCAGTAGCGCTTCTTGTGCGAGGAGGAAGGTGCGGTGTCCCTCAAACCCGTCACGCCTGTAGTGTGTGCGTGCTATTCATTCATGGAACGAATCTGAACACAGACTCTAGTGCCACATCTGCCCATCTAGAGAGTGTGACATAGAAAGTCAGAGAATCACTGATATAGATGGAGAGATTTACCTCAAAGAATTGTCTATGAATGTGGTTGGCACATGCTTTTAACCCCAGAACTTGAAGATAGAGGCAGAGGATCTCTGCTAAGTGGGAGGCCAGCCCAACTCACAGAGATCCTCTGCCTCCATCTGCAAGTGCTGGGATTAAAAGCATGTGACGCCACCAACATATCCACAGACAATTCTTCCAGATACATCTCTCTGTCTATCTCACTGATTCTATGCCCCTCTCTGACACTAACACTAGCTGTGTTAGTATGCCTGCATATGCACACTTCCTGAACATTTTACACATGAAGAGAACACACACCAAAATACAGCCACATGCATGCAGACATATACAGAAACTATAAATGTAATAAAAATTTGAAATTTAGCGGAGACTGCCAGGGCTTAGCCATGGGTAAGATGCTGTCACCTTGGTGAAAGCAGAGTGTGTGGGAGAGACAAGCCAGTTGCTGAGGAATTTGTCCCACAGCATAGGGAATAAAGAGACATGACTGTCGGGCCCAGAGGTTAATGTGCCACTCCTTCAGAAGCACTGTTCCTGTTCCCTTCTCCCATGACCCGAGGACTAAAAGAATCTAGCAATTACTCTGGTCATGGGAGCTTCCTGGGATGTGTCTTATCAGCCTACATACTGACCGGCATCAGAACACTTCTGTCTTTTGTTCAATATACCAAGACTACGTGATACTTTGGACCTACCAAGTGAGATGAGTATTTAGCCTACAGTGTTTAAAGTGAGCCAAGCAGCTGAAACCATGATCCCTCAAAGGAACTCTTAGGGATCTAGAAAAGGAAGGAGCTGGTCTGAGTAGAGACCCCAGGCCGAATATTTCCACACAGCAAGAAAACAACAGGCAGGGGTATTTCCAACAAACAACACGTTTATTTCTGTCTTTTTAACAAGCTAGGAGCAGGCCCAACAGATGCACTGAACAGTGCCTCTGCTTCACAAGGAAACAGCAAATAACAAAATTGCTTACAACTGTGGTAAGATGATTACTCCACATGGAGGGTTTCTCAGGTCAGTATGCCGCTGGAGAGGATTAAGAAAAGACTCAGAAGAAGGTTGGACTTATCCAGACACACAGCTCTGGCAATCACAGATTCCTCAATCACAGTAGGAGGTAACAAATCCCTCTCTATATTAGTAGGCCCTATATCATTGCAAAGAATGCCTGAGCAGCAGTAGGAATAGTAGAAGCTATTGGTGCTTGGAAGCCGTCTTGTTAAAACAGTTGGGGGAGGCTGAATCAGCACAAATGTACAGTTCTGCATGCAGTGTTTGTAGACTAAGAGCTCCCGAGAGTTCATACCTAGAAAGGAAGCCATCTGGAGAATTATCACCATCATCTTCATTGTAAACCCAGCACCACAGTCAACCAAACCTAGCCACATGAGTGATGGCTTGTAAAATCAACTCCTACACCCCATGCTCACTCCTCATCTAGCTGGTCACTGCACCCTTCTTCTCTGCACCCCCTCTGCCCTGAAAATCCTGCCTAGGTATTGGCTGTTCAGCATTTTATTGGACCAGAAGGTCTTTACACTGTACAAAAATATTATTCCACAACAAGATATTTTCAAGAATGCTTGATTAAAATGATGCAGGTACCCAAGAGAGCATTACTGCTCCAGTACCAAATTCTACACTTACTGTCTATGCATTGCTACCATCTATATGTCAGTCACTCTCCCTGCCCAGTTGACAATTTAGTCTCAGGACACACAGCAATGCTAATGAAAAATCTTCTTCAGTTCTGGTTCTAATATTATACTAACTGTTTGTTACCAAAGTCTACAATGAAAAAGTGGCAGAAGCTATGCTATCTGAGACTCCAGAGATGATCAAGGGCACAGAGGAGAGTCCACATTCACAACTGCAGGATGAAGTCCTTCCCAATCCTCTGCCCTTCCTCCCCTATTATACACTCCCACCACTGAAGACGGGAGTCTAATCAAATGCCTCATTTTAGAAGGACCTGGGTCAGGTTGTTTTAGCAGAGCAATAGAAAGGTAACCTATGCAGCATGTGTATGCACAAGATCAGAAACCATCATGCCTGCAAGGATTCAGCAAATCTGAACAAGTGTGTGTGCCCATATGAATAGAGAGACGCTCAGGGACAAAGGCATGGGGGGCCACAGTATTCTCCTTCCCTGGATATTGGCCTGTGTCAACTGTCAGCTCACTAGTAGATGCACAGTGCTGTATCAGTGTGCTGACTCAGTGCCTGGGAACATTCTCTCAGTCCTAGGAGATGATAGAACATTGGTGCATCTGTCTGCAGGGAGAACAGAATGATCCCGTCCCCTAATCTTGTGCAGATAAGCTTATCTATACTGTACCAGAATTCAGATACTTACGTAAGGCAATTGTCCCACAGCGTCTAAATCCTTCAAGACAATTGAAAACATTAGGGCAGTGGAAGGTGTTCGTCGCAGAACAGGTATGACACCTCATGGTAAGACCTACAAAATTTAAAAAATTCCTGTTGGGAGTCTCCCTCAAAAGCCTTTCCACCATTGAACTCCCAGCATCCTCCTCTCACAGCTGCTTCCCAATGCAGTTCTCTACACAAACCACATAAGGCCTTACAGCTCAGATCCTGGCATAGTCTAAGTCAGAGCCTGACCAGGTCCCAGGACATCGTGGACCCATCAGGAATCTCTGCTTTTTCTAAAAGGCTGATCACATGGAAAACAGCTGAACTCCTCAAAGATGTCCATCCCTCTGTGTGATAGTGGCCATCAGGACACTACCATCCTCCAGGGTTTCTCTGGGCTTAGCACCTGCTGTCCGTGCCGGGAAGTGCTATGGACAGATGCTAGCTCAGGTATCCTGGTCAGCGCTCTCTGTGGGAGCCTGCAGTCTACTCCCCCATATTGAATCTCAGGAGTATCTCTCTAAGCATGTTCACATGCTGTAACCACATCTAAAATGATGAAAGTTATTATGAGACAAAATATAAAGTAAATAATTCCCCTCCTTGTTTTGGCTACTAAAACTGGAACAGTGTCATTGTAACCTCATGATACATGGCTAGTGAACAGAGATGCCTGGTGTAGACACTGGGCTCCTTCTGTGTTAGATTTTCTGAGACAGGGTTTTTCTGTGTAGCCATGGCTGTCCTGGAACTCACTGTGTGTACCAGGCTAGCTTTGAACTCAGGTCTAACTGTCTCTGTCTCCTGAGTGCTGTCTGGGATTAAAAGTGTGCACCACCAATATCCAGCAACACCAATGTCTTCAGAAAGACAATTCACCCAGTGCATGAGAATGAATGTACAGGCTCTTGAGTTCTTTCTTAGCAATTTAACTGTAGTCGTTTGTTAAAAATATGGACAGTGGCAGCAGCTCAATGTCCTGGGTCACACATAACCCCAGGGCATGGGTGACTGAAGCAGGGCTATCTCTGAGAGTTTGAACTAGAGAAAGAACCTAGCCTCAAAACAACAAAGGGGTAAATGAGATGGCTCAGTGAGGAAAGTTGCTTGCCACCTGGTTCTGGTGAGCCCAGTCCCCAACAAGCCTTCTTATAACCCTAGTCAGCTCTAGGTGGAGTCTCCTTCCATACAACAGAGTGGGAGTCTAGAGACCATACTTGCCTTGCCTAGGTTGGATGGCAATGCCCAACCCACGGGTACTGTTGTCCCACACACTGGTGCTGTTGTCCCCCACACTGGTGCTGTTGTCCCACACAGTGGTATTGCTGACACTGGTGTCTACCCATTGGAGACCCAAGAGAATTATCCAGAAGAAGGGGAGCATCATCTGCAATACCCAGGTGAACCTAAAAGTGAAGAGAACCATGACCATGTATTCGGGCAAACCTCTAGATCCGGGTGCATGTTCTCATCATCAACACTCAGAGGCATCATCTATTGGCACGGCCTCAGCCTCAGAAGCCTAACCTAGTAGTCCTCCTATGGGAGCTTCAGATCCTTGCCTTCTCCATCCTGTTCAGGTACCTACTTGGGTCTTCCTTCCCACTTCTGAAACTGTCCGGATGGTTCTGCCATATTCCTCCTTCTAGACATTCTTCTCTACATCCTCCCCTCCTAACCTGTCTGCTCTACCCCCTAACATTGGAGTAAGGTGACCCTATTCCTGTTGGAAAATTTGCTCATTTTCCTATTGTGCATTCTAGAATCATCCTGCTGAATTACCAGACATTGCTTATGGAACTGTCCAACTGGGCTGCATCTTAACATCTCATATCTGGAATTGGATGCTTCATTGGAATCTGGTGTGCCCTTCTGGGATGTCCCATCTTAATTACTCAAGCTTTGCAAGCAACTCTTAGTCGCTGGCTCCAATGGATTTGTCTTTACTCAGGGGAGTGTTCTAGAAGGTACTTCCTGAGGAAGATGCACAACATCCTCTTTCTGGAGACGATCCTAAAGACTGTCCACACACAAGGGCCTTTGTACCTCGACTCCTAACTTTAAGTTTCAAACTCAGGAGTGCTCTTCCCTCCCCACTCACAACTCTGTCCATCACTCGGAGTGATTCACCCAAGATTGAAACACCTCAACTGGCATTCCTCCTGGAGGGCTCTGACACTCCATTGCTGTCACTCCTCAGGCCCTGGCACTCTCTTGGTGCTCCTCCCTCAGGACCTCTATCTGGGTGCCCCAGCTTCTGCATCACCTCCTAGTGGAGCTGTGCTGTTAGGCACTGATCATCTTGATCTTCTCTGTTGCTTGGTGCCTTTTCGTCAGGCTTCTGAACATAGTAGTGTCCTTCTTTCAACACTTTGACCCACTCTTGGCACCACTCCCTAAGGGCCCCAACCCTCTCTTGGTACATTTCCTTCAAGGTTCCAATTGAGTCTCTCTCTGTGTCTCTCTCAGTATTTGTCCCTAGGATTCTACCATTATGTTTGTACCCCTCTTTCAGGAATCCAGCCGTGTTTGGCTCCCTTCACCCGGGGCTGGGACCTTCTCTTGGAGACATTTCTTCAGGGCTCTAAGCATCCTCCTCTTGACAACTTTCCCTCCTGCTTCAGAACATCTATTGACCAGTGTCCCTCTAAGTACCCAGCCTATTAACATCATCAGGGCTTTGAGCCTTTCTTGACCCCTCCTTTCATCCACATCTCTCTTTGTGATCCTCCTTCAGGGTCTGAACTTCACAGGGCACCTATCCAAGATGTCTCCCACTCTCTCTAGACACTTACCCAACGCTCTCCCACTCACTTTAGGTGTTTCCCTCAGACCTCCCATCATTTCTAAATGCTCCAAACCTCTCCTGGGGCTCAGGTCAATCCTTCCTTCAGAGCTCCAAGTATCTGAGATCCACATTCAGTCATCTAAACCTCTCTTGGAACTCTCCTCTCAGGCTCAGAATCGCTCCTCAGAATTCCTGTTCTCTCTTGGGACACTTCCCTAGATGCTCTTCTAATGAAGCTTCTGAGCATACGCTTGTTTGAGACTCGCCTGTGGCTCCTCCCTTCTCTTCGCACCCATCCCTCAGTGCTCAGAATCCTCAGGGCCACTTCAGTCAGGGCTCTGACCATCTCTTGGCACCCTTCTCTCAGAGTTCTGGTCCCTTCCTGAGGCCCCTTCCCCCAAACCAGCATCTCCCTCCATCTGGGGCTGCAGATCCCTTCTTGTGCACCGACTTCAGAGCTCCAGCATTAGATCCCCTGCCCTCAATGTTATGGCCTCTTTGTACTTCTCACCTCTGCCTCACTCACTGAACTTTTCTTGGTGCTGACCCATGGTACCATTTCCTCAGGGCTCCGCTTCCCTTAACATCTGTCTCAGGGCTCCAACCATTTCATGGTGTCTGTCAAGGTTCCTCCTGTCTCTTCCAATCTCACTTTGTGTCCCTTTAAAGAAGCTCTGACACCCTTGGAGCCCTTCCTCAGGATTTCAAGCCCTTTCTTGAGCGCTGAAAATTTCTGCAACCCAACTTTAAGGCTCCCTCAGTGCAGCCAATGTCTCTGAGTACCTCTCTCAAGGCTCTAAACCTCTCTTATTATCCCTTCTTTATTTCTCCAAACTTCTTTGTGAGCTTCCCTGAAGTTCAGACCCCTCCCAACATCATCTTCCTTTTTTTTTTTTTTTTTTGGCTGAGGGGGTTTTGCAAACATCGTTGTGCATTTCCTTTAAGTCTCCCTCCATTTCTCCTTAAGTATCCTTCATTTCTCTTTCTGTCTCTCTATTTGTCTCTCTTGGTGCCCTTCCGGGTGTGTTCTGACAACTTCTCAGCCCCAACTCTGGTCTTTCATCTTTTGCACCTCTCCTTGGGGCTCTGTGGGTCTCTGAGCAATCTTCTCTCGAGGCTCTGACCCTCTCTTGAATTTCCTCCCTCAAGGCTCTGTCTCTGTTGGTGCCCAACTTCAAGGCACACACTTTGTTGGCACAGCTCCTACTCCCCATGACACTGAGGATCTCTTGACACCCCTATCTCAAGGCTTTGACCCACTCTTGGAGCTTTATTTGGAGCCCTTTCTTCAAGGATGAACACTGTCGATAAACTTCCTTCAAGGGCCTAATCCTCTCTTCTAACCACTCTATCAAGGCTCTGTCTCTCTTTCTCTCAGGCTCTAACCATGTCTTGATGCACTTCCTTAAAAGCTACAAATCTCTGTCAACCTGTCTCACTGCCCTTCCTCAGGCCTCCAAAACTCTTTTGATGCCCCTCTCTTAGGACTGTAAATCTCCTGTGAGTACTTAACATTTTTTTTCTGGAGCTCCTGCCTCAAGGATCCAACTGGGAATTGGCTCCTCTTTCCTCACCACCACTCCATCCCATGGGCCCCTCCCCTCTCTGGGCTCTGTCCTCTTCTTGTGCCCCTCATTCAGTGTACCTGCCTCACCTTTCTCTCAGGGTGCAGATTCCCCTTTGCCAACCTTGGCTCTGGGTTCCAACCACTTTTGTATAACCTTCTTTAGCCACCCCCCCCCTCTCGATCTTTCTTAATGCTCCTACCTCAGTGCTCTAACTTTAACTTGGGGCCTGCCTGTTCTCTCCTGCCACCACTCCTTCAGATTTCCAACTCTCTTCGTGGCCTTTTCAACGGTCCTGAACCCCTCCCCTAACACCTCAAATCGCCAACGGTCTTTTGGGTCACTTCCGTAGAGCTCTGACCCTGCCTTGGTGCCCTTCCGGCACTGTTCCGACACTCTCTATGTGTTCTACCCACAAGGTTCCAATCTTCTGAGGAGACGATGCCCAGAGAGCCTCTGATAACTAAGGGTGACTGTCAAGAGAGGAGAATCCCTGAAATACGCGCACATAGGTATAGTCCAAACCTCAAGAGAGGAGTGCCTGAAGAGCGTCATAGCCCCGAGGGATGGGCTGAGAAAATGAGCACTTCAGTGTGGGTTTCCGGAAGTGGGTCAGGGCCCTGAAGGCAGTCCAAGACAGAGGAAGAGCCCAGCAGGAAGCATGTCAAGAGAGTCAAGAGAAGGTCCAGCTTCCGGGGGAAGTTCACCGAGAGATTCTGAGCTCTGATAGAAGGGCGCCAACACTCGATTTGGGACTTGACAGACAACACCAAGAGAGGGATGGAGTGCTGAGGGACAAGTGAACCAAGAGAGAAGGAGCACTGAAGTGTTGGAACCATAAAGGAAAAGCACCGAGACAGACAGAACCCTGAGGGAGCTGAAAACTCCAGGGCAGGGTCAGAGTTCTACAGACGTGCACCAAAAGACCTTTGGAGGTCTGAAGGTTAGAATAGGGGTTCAGAGCCCCAAGGGAAGGACAACAAAAAGCTGTAACTGAAAAACTCCTCAGCAACTGGCTTTTCTCTCCCACGAGCCCTGCTTTCACCGAGGTGACAAGATCTTACCCATGGCTAATCCCTGCCAATAACTGCTAATTTTCACATTTTTTTACATTTGCATTTTCTTTCTACGTGTGCATGCATGTAGCCATACTTGATGTGGGTTGTCTTCATACCTGAAATGCTAGGAAATGTGCATATTCATACACACCAGCCCATTTTACAGAGTGTGACACAGAAAGTCAGATAATCAGTGAGATAGATGGAGAGATTTACCTCAAAAGATTGCCTATGAATGTGGTTGGCACAAGCTTTCAACCCTAGTACTTAAAGAGAGTGTCTGGTTGGTCTGTGTGAGTGGGAGTCTGGTCTATGTCTGGATGTTTTTTGAGTGGTCCCATCAATGTCATAACACACAGGAGGGCTCCATGTCTGTTTTCTTCTGTTTTAGTTATAATTTCTGTGTGTGAAACATAGAATAAATACAATGGAATTATGTATACCATATAAATGAGCCTGGGAGCAACCTGTAAAGTAATAGAAATTGGGCAGAGGCTTCAAGGACACCCCCCTCAGCTGTCATATCAGGGCTTGCAGATTAGGAGCTTTAGAAAGATTTGCCCACCGTCAGCCTTAGCCACGGGGAAAAAGTTGATTTCACTGTCCTCTTGTCGAGGATCCAAGTGTCGTTTGCAGGACTTGAGGTGAAAGGCAGGTTTGCTCATTGGCTAGCTTTACCACTTTTGTGGGTAGAATTTCTTCAGTGTCCGCCAGGCCTCTTGTAGGAAATGAGGTGGTGCAGCAGATGGCCACGCCTTAGACATTTAGACTTTTAGGCTTACTAAGGTTGTTAGGTACTGTCTGACCTGAGGAAGTGGACCCGACTTCATGGGCCCCAACATTCCAAGGTCGGTGAGGGTGATCGAGGTGGGAAACAACATGCCAGGTACACAGAGCTTAGTGAGAAGTTTGATTAGAAAGGGAGGGGAAGGGAAGAGAGAAGAGGAGAAGATAGAGAGGACAGGGAAGCAGTGGGGAGAGAGAAAGAGAGAGGACAGCAAGAGGGGAAGAGAGCATTAGTGGGCTAAGGCCTTTCTATTACAGGGTCCTTTGCACCAGGGCTGATCAGGGTATGGCAGGAGTGCAGTCTGCAGGTGACACACAGGTCAGCACAATGCCTGAACCCTTACACTTGGTGGGTACAAAGCATTGAGCAGTCTTGGCATATGTGTGTTTTGAACAAAAGAGAGAAATGTTCTGATGCCAGTCAGTGTGTACCTGATAAGACACATCCCAGCTAAGATCCCATGACCAGAGTAATTGCTGGATTCTTTCAGTCCTCAGGTTATGATGAAGGGAAAAGGGACTGTGGTGACAAGGACTGGCTCATTAGGTGCTGGGCCTGACAGTCCCATCTGCACATTTCCCAATGCTGAGGGACATATTGATGAGCAAATGCCTAGTCACTCCCACACCTGCTGCTTTCGCCAGGTGACAGGATAGTACCCATGGGTAAGCCCTGGCAGTCTCTGCTAATTTTCAAATTATTACTACATTTGTAATTTCATATATGTGTGCCTGCATGTGGCCTCTCTGAGTGTGGGTTTCCTTCATGTCTAAAATGCTCAGGAAGTGGGCAGAGACATGCACGCTAACACAGTTTCAGAGACTGGCAGAACAAGACATAGAATCAGTGAGATAGATGGAGAGAGACTGGAAAGACTTCATGTTTTTATTCCCAGCACTTGAAGATGGAGGTAGATGATCTCTGGGAGGCAGAATACAGTGTGTCTAGGTGGCATTGTGCAGAGGAAAATCCAATTTGAGGCGACCCCAAATCAGCAGATTCTCAGACCTCGTGCTCAGTTGCCAGGACTCATGGACCCGCTGAGGCAAGGACTGCTGAGGAAGTGAGTGTTGGTGGGGGTGTAGGCAAATTCACCGCCCCTCCCTCTGGTCAGCAAGTGGCCCAGAGCACACACTATGTGGGACAAAAGTGTAGAAAGGTTCTGAGGTGTGAGTGCCTGCGGGGTGGGGGTGGGGTGTGGCCGCGGAGGGGGCGTGGATTCAGACCAAGAGAAGAGAGGGCTCTGTGCCACTCAGACCTGGGACGCCAGTGAGAAGAACAGAGCAGAGCGAGCCACTCCTGTCCTCCACAGGTCCAGGCACCCTCTGGAGATGGTCGCCCTGCTGGCCTTGCTCATAGCCATGGCCTTACCATTGGCTCAGACCAAGGACAGGATCAGGAGAGCAGGTGAGTGGCGCAGCCCTGCGCCCTCTAGGGACAAGAGGATGAAGGTTAGTGCCTTCAGAGAGTCCATTAGGTAGTGTACACTGAAGTCCAGGGCTGTGAGGCCCGCGACCAATGTGGGCTGGTGTGGGGGCTTTGGGGCACGGGCCAGAGTTGGGGTACTGGGGATGGAAGGGTAGGGGCGTGGGAGCATTGGGAATGGGGGGTGTGCTTCTGGATTGGAGCTTCCCCTAGGGCAAGCTTGGGTTACCCATCCACCAGGGCTCCTGGTCAGTCTCTCCAGTCACTCTTCCTTCTGGTTAGGAAGGCTTGGAAAAATCGAAACACCCTGACCTGTGAGCTTCAGCACTGCCGGAAGATGGGAATTTGTGGGTGTCTCCATTGTCTTCCCCAAACTGGAGCTGCCCTAATCCTGACCCAGGAGAGGTTATCTACTGTGGGGACCAGAAACAAAGAGTGTGGGTCAGGACAAAAGGCAGCTGTGAAACCTTGGGGTTCAAAGTAAAGGGACAAAAGTGGCAAGGAAATGGATGCCCATGGGAATTTCTGGACACTACAGTGTCTGATTGGGAATGTGGGTTCATGCACTGTGCCCAGAGGAGAAGGACCTAATGCAATCCTCATTGGACAGGCAAGGGAGCCTCCAGACAGAGGCTCAGAACTTAGGTGTCATGCACAGAATGTGGGCTCGGGAGAGTTGGGCACTCCCTTGACTTTGCAGACGACACTTGGATGACAGGTTTGGTGCTGCAGGGGAACAACAGTCCCATTTCTCTCCTTTCCAATCCCTAATTTCAGAGAGAATGAGGTGTCACGTCTGTGAGGCAGAGAACAGCTTTAACTGCACGAGCCCTGTGGACTGTCCTCATGACAAACAGTTCTGTGTGGTGGCTGCCGTTCGTAAGTCTTGCTTCCTTCTGCTTCCTTCCAAGGATGCTATTGGCAGGGCAACACATGCTGACAGGAATAGGAGCTGTCAATCAAAGGGACTTTACAAACACAGAAACAAAACAAAGCAACAGTAACAAAAATAACACTAACAAGAATCAAACCTAGAGAACAAAAACTGTGAGGAGGAAGCGCCATGGGATGCAGGGGTAGACGTCAGTGCTGAGAAGCACAAGCCAGGCAGGAAAGCATGCGACAGCAGCAGTCGGCAGCGGGGTTAGCGTGCTGGGGGATGATGGGAGTTCTCTTCATTTGCTTCAAGATGAAACTCTAATACAAGGGGGCAGTTCCAGCTTACTGTATACTCCTGGAAAAGTGGCCATTCTTTGGTGTTTGCAGGCTGACTAATTTCCCCATGATTCACTACAGAAATTCTACATACAAGACAGGCTTCCCAAAATGGACCAATGGGACCCAAACCGTCCTACCTACCGTGAGGATTTTCATCACCTGAGCATTCAAATTCAGTCCTACACGCATTAACACACACGCATCCCTGTGTAGAGTCTCTCCATGTTTGGGGAAGTTTATAGGATGTTGGAGCAGCTGACAGAAATTGGCTCAGCTAAAGGAGGTTTATTGCTTAATATGAAAAAAAAAACCTATTTGTGCAATGCAAGATGATGTTCAAAGGCTAGCGTCTCAGCTGGATCTAAGTCAGAATGGTCACAGTTTCTTCCAATATGTGCATGTCCCTTTCAGTCACTTGAGTCACTTCTGTGTTTTAAAAGTTGAGGATCAAGCATCCTGTGTTTCCAAATGCAGGCACAAATCCCCATAGCGTGTGGAGGACCACACATCTCCCCTAGGGCAATTCAGCCTTCTTCCCCTGAGTAGTGGCTCCTATCCTCTGACCGATGCTCTCATTGAGTAAGACTGTCTGACAGGGTCTCAAGGGGTGCAGATAATCCAGAGAGGCTCTGATATCAGGTCCTCGAACTCATAACATGCTTTTCTTTGTCCCCTATTAGGAATATTTGAACGTTTCTACCTTACTTCAAAACAGTGCACCAAAGCCTGTCCAGTCCCTGCACTTTTGCTACAGGGCATGCGGCCTAATGTACCTCCTGAGCCTAAGCCGTTTTTGGTCCAAAACTCCTTGCCCTTCATATACACGCGGTGCTGCAAATGGAGCTTGTGTAATCAGGGTGGGCCGAACATGCCGAAGTTCAAGGAGCAGCCTGGAAAAGCCAGCGAGAGAAGAGAAACTGAGCTCTCCCTCACTGTCTTCATAGTCCTTACTGTCCCTGCTCTCACAGACCTCAGCCTGCTCTAAGGTGCAGAGACCTGGAGCATGCCTTGTGGGACAGGAATTCCTGGTACCCTGCTGGACCCTTCTAATTAAATGTGTTCTCCTTGTTAACCTCTTGTCTTGACTCCTGTGGTCTCTGGGTGGGCTGGTGGGAAGCCAGGCTCCATGGCTGTCAGCCCAGGTGCTCTTCGGCTCCCGTAAGAGCCTGTGGCAGGTCTTGCCACACTTTTCCTGGCCAGCGCCTCTGAGGTTGAGCCTTGCCCCTCCCTTTTATGTTCCAGTACCTGAGAACCTCTGAGGTGGTGCAGAGGGAGCCCATTTTCCTCCACACACAGCACACAGAGACCAGGATCAACAGGGAAGATAAAGATTCTAGCGGTAATCTTCCTGAATGCAAAATCCTCTAGACCTTCTAGCCCAGTATCTGACACGTTGCTTCCCTTTGTAAATGTCCATCTTGGATTTCTCTGGCATCAGAAGCTTGGGCCAGATATGTTGTCCATGTTTCTAGTGACTGCAGCCATCGATATAAGGTGACCTCTACCTTATAAGGACTTCCTGCCATGGAATGTCCCTAATGTCATTGCAGGGTGTACCCATACACCACATCTCCTCTCTGGTCTTAGGCAGCTGGCCTAGGAAGGCTTGGAGACCCTCCAGAAAAATCTGTGTACTCTGTCTGAGGCCTTCTCAAAGGAGTCAAAGTTAAATTGAATAGGGATCAGGACTGGAATTTACTTCTAATACCTTTTGTCCATCACAGGCTATGAGGTCACTCCCCACCACTGACCCATTGGGTAACATCAGCCAGGCCATTCCCCCAGTCCTGGAGTGAACTTGAGGTGTACTACTGGTTTAGGGCGGACAAAATTTGAGTAATTCTGGTGATCCCAGCTTCTGGTGTGCTTTGGTCTCTGCAGGGGCCACTCCGCATCCCCCACCCTACACCCATCCCCTCAATGTTCCGGGGGGGTTGCTCCTGGCATCCAGAAGACCTGCCCACACAGGAAAGGCATCAGCCCTTCTAGGCCCCTACCCTCGGCGACCCCAGCTTCAGGAAATGCATCAGCCCTCCAGGCCCCAACCTATGGTGACCCCAGCTTCAGCTTCAGCTTCAGTGTCAGTGTCCCCAGCTTCAGTTTCAGGAAGGAAGGACACCAGTGAAGACGGAAAGACCCCACCTGCACCCACTGGAAGAAGAGATGGGAAGAAGATAGAATAAGAGCTCATTCAGCAATAGAAAGACCAACATGACCCCACCATAATCTAGAGAACCAATGGCAGCAAGACCTGAAAAGCACTACATAGATGAAGCAGAGGAGACAGACCTTAAAAATTATTTCATGAAGATGATAGAGACCCTCAAAGAGGAAACAAGGAAATCCCTTAAATAAATAGAAGAAAAAAACAAAATATCCATGAAATGGGGGAAAATTGAAGACATAAACAAATCTCTCAAAGAATCTAAAGAGTACCAAGAAAAAACAACCAAACAAATGAAGGAAACAACTCAAACAGTTGAAGGATTGAACATTGAAATAGAAACAATAAAGAAAACACAGATTGAGGGGATGCTGGAAATAGAAAAGCTGGGTATATGATCAGGAACTACAGATGCAAGTATCACCAATAGAATACAAAAGATAGAAGAGAGAATCTCAGGTGCTGAAGACTCATTAGAGGATATACAGTCATCAACCAAAGAAAATCTCAAAACCCTCAAATCCCTAACAGAAAATATCCAGGAAATATGGGACAATGTGAAAAACTCAAACCTGAGAATAATAGGTATAGAAGAAGGTGAAGAAATACAGCTCAAAGGTACAGAAAACATATTCAACATGATCATAGAAGAAAATTTCCCTAACCTAAAGAAGGATATGCCTATGAAAATACACGAATCTTACAGAACACCAAATAGGTTGGACCAGAAAAAGAAGTCACCTTACCATATAATAATCAAAGCATCAAACCTACAGAATAAAGAGAAAATATTAAGAGCAGCTAAAGAAAAAGGCCAAGTAACATATAAAGGCAGACCTATCCGAATTACACCTGACTTCTCAATGCAAAATATGAAATCCAGAAGGTCCTGGACAGATGTCCTACAAACGCTAAGGGAACAATGTTGCCAGCCCAGACTACTATATCCAGTAAAGCTTTCGATTACCATAGATGGAGAAAACAAAATATTTCATGACAAAGCCAGACTTAAACAATACACATCCATGAATCCAGCTCTACAGAAAGTACTAGAAGGAAAACCTAGACCCAACGAAGATAACTACACTCAAAAAGACACAGGCAATAGATAACCCCACTTTACCAAACACCAAAAGAAAAAGGGAGGAGAACCTACACACAATAACTCCACTACCAATAAATCAAGCACAATCAAGAATCATCAATCAATGGTCATTAATATCCCTCAATGTCAATGGTATCAACTTGCCTATAAAAAGACACAGACTAGCAGAATGGATACGAAGACAGAACCCATCCCTCTGCTGAAGACAAGAAACACATCTCAACATCAAAGGCAGATGTTACCTCAGAGTAAAGGGTTGGGAAAAGTTTTTCCAATCAAACAGACCCAAGAAACAAGCAGGTGTAGCAATACTAATATCTAACAAATTAGACTTCAAATTAAAATCAATCAAAAGAGATGAAGAAGGACATTTCATATTAATCAAAGGAAAAGTCCATCAAGATGAAGTCTCAATTTTGAGCATCTATGCCCCAAATACCAAGGCACCTACATTCGTGAAAGAAACATTACTAAAGCTCAAATCGCACATAAAATCTCACACACTATTAGTAGGGGGCTTCAACACTCCACTCTCACCACTAGACAGGAACTCCAGACAGAAACTTAACAAAGAAACTAAAGAACTAATGACCCAACTGGGTTTAACAGACATCTATAGAACATTCCACTGAAACACAAAGGGATATACCTTCTTCTTGGTGCCACATGGAACCTTCTCTAAAATTGACCACATAATAGGAAACATAGCAAATTTCCACAGATACAAAAAATTGGAATAACCCCCTGTATCTTATTAGACCACCATGCATTAAAATTAGAATTCAACAATAACACAAATCACAGAAACCCTACAAACTCATGGAAATTGAACAATGCACAATTGCACCATCCCTGGGTAAAGGAAGAAATAAAAAAGAAATTAAATACTTCCTGGAATTCAATGAGAATGAAGACTCAACATACTCAAACTTATGGGACACTCTGAAAGCAGTGCTGAGAGGAAAGTTCATAGCACTTACTGCCCACATGAAGAAACTGGAGAACAGTCACACTAGAGAATTAATAGTACAGCTAAATGTTCTAGAACAAAAAGAAGCAAACTCACCCAGAAGGAGCAGACGCCAGGAAATAATCAAATTGAGGGCTGAAATCAATCAAGTAGAAACCAGGAAAACATTGAGAAGAATCAATGAAACAAAGAGTTGATTCTTTGAGAAAATCAACAAAATAGACAAACCTATGTCCAAACTAACCAAAAGACAGATAGAGAGCATGCTAATTAACAAAATCAGAAATGAAAAGGGGGACATAACAACGGACACTGAGGAAATCCAGAGAATCATCAGGGCATACTTTGAAAATCTGTACTCCACAAAATTCGAAAATTGAAAGGAAATGGACAATTTCCTGGATAGCTATCACTTGCCAAAACTAAATCAACAACAGATAAACAATCTAAACAGACCTATAACCCTTAATGAAATAGAAGCAGTCATCAAAAGTCTCCCAAACAAAAAAATCCCAGGCCCAGATGACTTCAGTGCAGAATTCTACCAGGAATTCAAAGAAGAGCTAATTCCAATACTCCTCAAAGTATTCCACACAATAGAAGCAGAAGGCTCACTGCCAAACTCTTCTTACGAGGCTATAATTACCTTGATACACAAAGACACAACTAAGAAACAGAACTATAGCCCAATTTCCCTCATGAACATCGATGCAAAAATACTCAATAAAATACTTGCAAACTGGATTCAAAAACACATCAGAAAAATCATCCCACCATGATCAAGTAGGCTTCATCCCAGGAATGCAGGGATGGTTCAACATTAGAAAATCTATCAATGTAATCCACCATATAAACAAACTGGGAAAGAAAAACCACATGATCATCTCACTAGATGCTGAAAAGGCCTTTGACAAAATCCAGCACCCCTTCATGATAAAGGTTCTAGAGAGATCAGGGATAACAGGAACATACCTGAACATAATAAAAGCAATATACAGTAAACCAACAGATAACATCAAACTGAATGGAGAGAAACAACACAATTCCTCTAAAATCAGGAACAAGACAAGGCTGTCCACTCTCTCCATACCTCTTCAATATTGTACTTGAAGTTCTAGCTACAGCAATAAGACAACAAAAGGAGATCAAGGGGATACAAATAGGAAAAGAAGCCAAGAATTCACTATTTGCAGATGATATGATAGTTTACATAAGTGACCCAAAAAACTCCGCAAGGGAACTCGTAGAGCTGATAAACACCTTCAGCAAAGTGGCAGGATACAAGGTAAACTCAAAAAAATCAGTGGCCCTATTATATACAGATGATGAAGTGGCTGAGAAAGAAATCAGAAAAACATCACCCTTTACAATAGCCATAAACTGCATCAAATATCTGGGGAAAATGTTAACCAAGGAAGTGAAACACCTGTATATCAAGAACCTTGAGAAAGAAATTAAAGAGGATACCGGAAGATGGAAAGATCTTGGATTGGTAGGATCAACATAATAAAAATGGCAATCTTGCCAAAAGCAGTCTACAGATTCAATGCAATTCCTATCAATATTCTGACACAATTCTTCACAAACAATAATCAACTTTATATGGAAAAACAAAAGGCCCAGGATAGTCAAAACAACCCTATACAATAAAGGAACTTCAGGAGGCATCACCATACCTGACTTCAAGCTCTATTATAGAGCTATAGTCCTGAAAACAGCTTGGTATTGGCACAAAAATAGACAGGTAGAACAATGGAACAAAATTGAAAACCTGATTTTAACCCACACACCTATGAATACTTGATTTTTGACAAAGAAGCTCAAACTATACAA